GCACCATGTACAAAGTCCTGGACGGTGTGGGAGAATGTGAGGTTTGCTGTTTGTCTAGACACAGGGTCTCTCTATACAGCACCTACGGTTCTGGAATTCTCTATGTAGACCAGGCTGGTCCTGAACTCACAAAGAACTGCTGTCTCTGCCTCCTCAGGGCTGTGATTAAAGCCTTGTATCACCACACCTGGGTGCATTCAGTTTTCCTTGATTTTTTTTTTTTCACCCTTCCTGTTTCCCTGAAGCTGCTAAATTGTTCACGCAGAATAGGTGGGTCTAATATTTATGTGAGAGAGCTATAGGGGGTCCTTGTGGGAAAGGGCCACTCTCTATCCGACCTCTCCCCTGGGAACCCAGACCTCAACCATCACTGCGCTGTCAATTCCTGTTCCAGGCAGGCAAGATTTGGGACAGCCCACAGCCGAAGCCTGGCAAGGTCACTTCCCCACTTGGCTTCGGCTGGCTTTCTTCCCCTGAAAGTAAAACGGGGAAGGAGTGACTGCTTGTTCCTTATTTAGGGCACTGACTTTGGCAGCCTGGGTTTGGAGGGCACAGTTTTGTTGTCGTTAACGAGCAACCTTCAATTATAGGCTTAAAATAAACCCAGCCTTCCCAGTCTCCTTGGGAGCTGGTCACGGCTAAGGGAGAGGGCCCTGGTTGCTTGGGGCCTGTGTATTGGCACCAAGTGAGAGTGGTACGCAGATGCTGGGCATGGCAAATGTCAGGAAGCCTATGGTGTGGTTGGAATGAGAATGACTCCCATAGGCTGTACCACTTGGCAGTTTGGGGAGGTTCAGAAGGTGTGGTCTTGCTGTTCCCAGTGGCTGAGCCATCTCTCTAGCCCCAGGGGATTCATAAGTATATTAAAATTAGCGAGTCTCAGGTCTGGAGCCTAAAGTTTAGTTCAGAGGATAAATAAATCCAGCAGCCTGGGAAGGCCTGAAGTTCTCATTCTAACCAGACCCCAAGGAATATAGATGCTATGGGTCTTCAGCCACACCCTGGGTAATCAGCCAGCCAGGACTAGGCCTTGTCCTCAGGGATCTAGGCAGGGCAGTTCTCCTATGGGTGAGGCTCTGACATAGAGGGGGGAGGTGTTAAAGGTATCTCCCTCCCACCTTCCAGAGTGAGACGCATCAAGGCCGCAGAAGAGTCCTGGGTATAACGGAGCTTTGAATTGCAAGGTGCCTGGTTCATAGAACCAGGAGAAAGGTACGGAACCCTGGCATAGCAGGGCAGGGCCCGAGTCTCCCACGAGCGCTTCCTTCTGCTCGCCTCCAGTATCTGTGAGCTGAACGTATGGCTTGGAAGCCCTGCCCAATCCCTTCAGGGTCACCACTGAGATGTCGGTGAGAGCTGAGAATATTCACCTCATCTATACAGTGACTCCCATAACTCACACAATAATCCAGGGAGGCCGACACCGCTGTTACAGTCTTTGGAAGGAGAGAGACCAAGGCACAGAGCCACTCATCAGCAGCAGAGCTAGGACCGGCATGCTTCTGGCTAGTCCCTGTGGGCCAATTTTCCACCCGTCTGTATTAGTTACTCTTCTCGTTTTCTGACAAGAGCAAGTTAAGGATGGGTTCATTTGGGTTCCCATCTTAAGGGGCAGTGCATCATGGTGGAAGCTTGAGACAGCAAGCAGGGTCCATGGCAGCCATGGTCAGGAAGTAGAGGGAGGGGAACAGCGTACTCACCTTTTCTCCTTTCTATCCCGACGGGACCCAGGCCCCGAGATGATGCTGCCAGTAGTTAGGGGTGCTTCTTCTCCCTCACGTAATGCAGCCTAGAAGCTCTCTCCCAGACATGCCCAGAGGTTTGTCTCCTAGGTGATTTTACAGGCTGCCAAGCTGGCCATTAATACCAATTCCCACAGCATCTCAAACCGCAGGGGCTGTCTTCAGCAGGAAGGCCTGAGATGGGGCATCCCTGTACCCAGCGCTGTTTAATCCGAACCTGCTTCCGGGAGACAAATTTCGAGAGGCCCGCCCCTCACCGGACCTCCATAAACCAAATGCTGTCCTTGAGATATACCATTTTCGCTTGTGTGAGGTACCTTAAGGAGTCCCGTTTACAGAGACAGGAAGCAGGAGGGAGGTGGCTATGGGAGGAAATGAGGTGCACACAGCAATGTGAAACCACTGAGTTGTACCCTTAAAAGCAGCAAGGTTAGCTGGGCAGTGGTGGCACACCCTATAATCCCAGCGCTCTGAACCAGAGGCAGCTGGATCTCTGAGTTCAAGCCTAGCCTGGTCTACAGAGTGACTTCCAGGACAGACAGGGCTACACAGAGAAACCCTGTATGAGTGGGGTGGGGGTAGTAAGGTTGGAAGTTTGTTGTGTACATTTTATCAATATATGCCATTTTACACATATTTTGGGGGTGCTGGGTAAATGTGACTTCCTCGAGCACTTCCTGTATTCCCCGAGTTGATTAGTGGCAAGATTTAAGTATCCCTTAAAGCTAATTCCAGGAAGGACAGAGGCTGTAACTAATGGATGCAGCAGGGTAGCCTAGACTGGGTCTCCCTATGGTTCTCAGAACCAAAGGGAGGCTGATGGCCACCCTGTGGGTTAAGGACTTTGCTGTAAGAGCCCCTCATTGGCCCGTGCTTTGAAAGCTTGGTTGTGAGCCTACAGTATGACTGGGAGGTAGGGGAGTGTTTAAAGGGTGGTGCCTGGTGGGAGGTGCTCTTTGGTGCCCTAAAGGGAGATTGTGAGATCCAATCTTTCCTGCTCTTTCTTTGCTAGCAGTGAGCAGGAGTCGTATAAGTGTCCACCATGATGCTTTAAAACCTCACCACTGGTCCAGAGGCAACAGGGCTGTGATGGATAATCTTAGTTGCCAACTTAACACATCTAGGAAGAAGGACCCTCAGCTGAGTTGTTTCCGTCAGATTGGCCTGTGAGCGTATTGTGGGGTGTTTTCTTGGTCGTTGGTTAATGTAGTAGGGCTCAGTGCTCTGTGGGCTGTGCTATCCTAAGCTAGGCAGTCCTGAGCTATATAAGAAGGGTAGCTGGACATGAGCCTGAAAGCAAGCCAGGCAGGAGCATTCCTTCAGAGCTTCTATTTCAGTTCCTGCCATGAGCTCCTGCCCTGGCTTCGAGAATGGACTGTAATCTGTCTGGAGAGAGATTTTTCTCTCCAGGTTTGCTTTTGGGCATGGCATCTATTACAGCAACAAAAAAGCAAACTAGGACCAGCAACTATGGCCTAATACCTCTGAAACCATGTGCTCAAATAAACCTCCTCTTCTAAGCTGTTATCCCCAGGAAGCTCACTAACACAAGCACCAGCCTTGAAATTCACTGAGTCAAGATTGGGCACTGGCCTATTGACTAGCCACAGTTCATCCTTCAAGTCAGTTTCTTATCATTCAGTCTGTGATTAACAATTCTTTGTTTTTTTATTTTTTATTTATTTATTTTTGCCTGAGATGGGATTTCTCTGTTTTATAGCCCTGGCTATGCAGACCGGGCTGGGCTTGAACAGAGATCTGCCTGCCTCTGCCTCCCCAGTGCTGGGATTGAAGGTATACACCAAACACTTCAGGTTTACCAAGCGTCTAGTGTAGGTGATCAGCACAGATGAGTAGTTGAGTACTGTGTTGGATTTTGTGCTCATGAGTGGCTCCTTTTGTGCAGACATCCATGTCTTGAGCAATTGCCACCAAAATGAAGATAGGATCTCTGGGTGATCAGATATGTCTAACAGATCATCATGGTCACTGTTCTGGTTAGCTCTGTCAACTTTACACAGTCGCCACGGAATGACGTGTGGGCTTGCCTTGATTGGTAAGTGATACAGGAGGACGCAGGCCACTGTGGGCGGCACCATTCCCTCAGCAGCTGGTCCTGGATTGAACAGGAAAGCTAGCTAAGCATGACCTTGTGAGCAAGTCAGAAGGCAGGGTAACTCCTTGGATTCTGTTCTGACTTCCCTGGGGGATGAACTGTGATTTGGAAGCATAAGCCAGATAAGATTTTCCTCCCGTTGCTTTCATTCACTTGTTTTTTTTTTTTTTTTTTTTTTTGTTGTTGTTTTAAATCACAGCAACAGAGATGAGAACAACAAAGGTATCTTGCTCAGGCTGAACCGCCTAGGGCTGAGGTGCGGAGCGCAGATCTAAGGCTCCCCCCACCCCCGCTCAGGACAGTTCCACACCTGCCTCCTGTCTCCTCGCTGCTCTCAGGGAACAGCCTCACTAGTCGGTCACCATCAGGGGGTTCTGGAATTTCTGTTTGTGGTCTTCAAGACAGATGGGCAACTGACCCAGTGGTCATCTGGATGTAGGAAGGGGAATTAAGGTGGTGGGCTAGACCCAAGACGGTGCTGGGAACTGAACCTGGGTCCTCTGAAAGAGCAGACAGCGCTCACAATCACTGAGCCATCTCTCCAGCCCCTGGGTCTCTGACTTAAAAAAAAAACAAAGCAAAAAAAACCCCCACATATTCATTTTATATGTACAAGTGTTTTGCTCCCATTTGTCCTTTTGTCTGAGGCCTTCCTTTTTCAGAATTCTATGACGTGGGTCTCAAAGGACCCATCCCTGGCTGTCAGCTTTGATGGTGAGTCCCTTTACCTAGGGAGCCATCATGCCAGCCTCCCACCTTATTTCTTGAAGCAGGACCTCTCAGTGAACCTGAGATCACCAATCTGGCTGGACTAGCAGCCTAGAGAGCTCCAGGAATCTGCTCGTCAATGCCTTCTGCCCCCTCCCACCCCCTCCCCAATTGCCACTGCACACACAGCTTTTAGGTGGGTTCGGGGGGGGGGTGTGTCTGACCCCAGGGCCTCATGCTTCTGTGGCAGACGTTTTACTGAATGGGTCATCTCTCCAGGCCCAAGTGTCCTTTAAAGATGCTGCCTAGGTGCCCGGGTGTCAGCGGTTGGGGATCAGTTCCTGACCACTCCATGAGGCCTGACCCTGAGACCTGCCCCCAGTGGGCTGCAGGCTTGGAGGCAGGATCGGAGGAACACACAGGTTGGTCAGGCACCGTTTTTTAAATATAACATTTATTGCTTAGATGGTTTGATACAGAACAGCTTTCTTTTCATTCTGAATTTGGAAGTTCTATACAACTGAGTACAAAGAGAAACAAAAAGTACCAAAACCAAACTTGTGATTCTGTTCATGTGGCATAAACCAGTTTTGTACATGACACGTAGCAGCAGTTTTTTAAGTTCCCTTTAGAAAAATATGAATTTTACACAGTTATTATTGTTTCCTGTTTAATGCAATGGGCTGAAATCATCAGGATCAACTTTCTTCTAGAAGAAGGAGAGGAGAGGACAGAGAGGAACGCAAGATGATCTGTCCGAAACCGGCATCCACGGAGCTTCCCTAGAGCTGCTTGGAGAACAGCCCCATGGGCCCTTTTTGTTGTTTTCACAGCCAGGTATTTTATGTAGTGATTGAATCTCAGCATTGTGTCCATTAAAGAGAAAAACAAAACAACAAAAACAAAACAACACAAAAAGAAAATCTGCACCTCAAATTTTTTTTTCAGAAGATCCATATATATATACACATTTATAATATATATATATATATATATATATATATCTGTAAAAGCCCTGAGGAGAAAGAGAATCAAACAAAATGTATAGAAACAAATTAGCTGGACATGCAAACTACACTATGATTCACCCAGCGTTTAAACAAATCACGAATTTCACAGTTTAATATTGGGGGAGGAAGGCGGGAGGACGACAAATAACACACCTCTCAATCTCACTAATAAAATGTGGCAAGACCTTATCGACTACGAAGGAACAGGCCAGACTGTATAAAGCTTTAAATCAATAGTGATTATCACCAGTTGCAGCCCTGGCTGTGGCCGCTGCTGGGAGCCAATCCCTGCTACATCTTACTGCCGTGCAGAGTTCAGTCATGGCTTCTCCCCACAATATCATGAGTTTAGTGTGGAGAGCTGCAAAGGAAAACAAAACACAAGAAACCCCAAATAATAACAACAAAATAACAATAACAATTGTAATAATAATAATAATAAAAAAAAACAACTAAGGGATGTAAGAGCTGGCTTTAACCAATGGGTCATTGGTTCTGATTTCTCTCTCTATAGTAAATAAAAATCTCAATTTTAAATTGGTTCATACATCCCTAATACAGTTAATACATATATACCTCAAAATTTTCTTTCATATGTAAATATATCACTTTTCATTTTCTCTAGAATATCTATCTTCCATTGAAGTCAGGGTGGTTGGATTTTAGCCACTAGAAACTGGTGGACAAGAGGGTACGCACGTCTCAGCAGAGGAGCAAATGGAGCCCCAGGGCAGGGGAAAAAGTGGAGCAGAGGAAGCCCCCCTGGGGAAGTCCTGCGGCTGTGCAGGCCGGGGACGAGCGCAGGGGCTCTAGTAGCAGTGTGGCTCAGGCGTCCTCGGGCATCCGCTAAAGGGCAGGGTGCTGAGCTGAAGTGCGCAGCTACAGTAGAAGGCTTCTCTGCCGACGAGGGAAGTCTACTCCCTGTAGAGAACACTCAGGAATGAAAGGAACCCTGCCTCTGCGCTGCAGGGTCTTAGGCCAGTTAGGGAACTGAACACACTTCTGTCTCCAAGCGGCAGCCCCCCCTGCGGGAAGGTGAAGATGCCCCCTCTCCCAAAACCTTGCACTAGCAGTTGGGTCTACACCCTACACCGGCAGTAGTATCGCATTGCTTTTCAAATGACAGTAGCGCAGCTGGGGGGACACTTGGGCCCGGCTTAGCAGGAAGACTGGGATGCCTTGCAAGCCAGCTCTGAGGTGGCCTGGGTGTGGCCTGGTGTCTCGGATGCCTGCTCCCCACCCCTCCTGCTGCATCCTTGGCTCTGCCCTCTGAGCCACTCCTTGGCCATGCTTGGAGGAGCACTCCAGGCCCCTGCTGGATTCTACAGTCACGGAAGAAAGGCTTGTCTGAGTACAGTAGAAGAGCCATCACTGGTGTACCAACGAAAGCTTCAGGCACACGTTCGTTATGGGGACCAGGCAGCTGCGCAGGTCTCCCAGGACAAATATTGCCCATTTGTTTCTGCTGAATGCAGAGCCCAGCAAACTGATGAACTAATAATAATAATAATATTAATAATATTAATAACATATACTGAATGGGGAGAGGGGAATATCAGTATATGACATCCAGGCACGTCCTCCATAGGTCACCATACTGGGGAGGTCACTCTGTAAATGAAGAATTTGAACAGTAACCATTGCTAACTCGGAGAGAGTGGAAACATGAGGTTGAAGCTAGTCTCTTTCCTGGCTTTGGCCACACCACACCGGGACCCTGCACTGACCACAACCACTAACAACAAAGGCCGGATCACAGCTCCTCCACCAGGACAGGCCGACAGGAAAGGTCTAGCTTAGAGATCAGCCTCGCACCCTCTTCCCTCTGGTCATGTACATGAAATTCACATCATTTTCTTCCAGTTATTGGCTACAGGGATCCAAGGGAAAGGTTTTCTTCTTCTGCTTCCAGCTCACAGAACAAACAGTACTATCACAGATTCACAAGAACAAGCTCAAACACACCAATACAAAAGGTAATGTTAATGCTTAAATGAAGAGGTCCTCTGAAAAAAATTCATTAAAATGTTTGCTTTGTTAAAATGTCATTTTTGGGGGGTGGGGGGCACACCCACAATAACATGGGAGAACCCATAAGTAGTTAAGGCACTGGAGCCGGCCACACTGGGGCCGGGTGCTTGCGCACAAGGTAAGGCTATGGCGAGAGCTGCTTGGCCGCGTACCTGCTGGTCTCTCTTTTGCCCTCTCTTTCCTCTCTGCAGACAGCTGAAGGACACTGAGAAAACCTTGTGAAACCTTGGGATGCTCTGCTAGCTTTCTCGGTGTGCTGACGGGGATGGGGAAGGCTGTCACTCCATCCCCAAGAGCTGCGAGGCACTGTCGGTGGCCGCTAGGATAGGGGCAGGCCTCTTGCTGCACAGCTCCAGCAAGTCTTGCACAATGGCTGCAGGGCTCTGGGGGTCTGTGTCACCCGGAGACACCTGCTCCTTGGGAGCACTGTGGCTGGGCTCAGCTGCCTGCTCCGCTGCAGCCTTCTCCTCCCGGCTACAATCCTTCCCAGAACTGGCCAAGCTCTCTCTCCGGCTCCTGGTGATGGCCACATGGTTGCTGGTGCTAGGAGCGGATTCAGCCTCATTCTCTGAGACAGGGTTGTTAGCACTATGGGTGGACTCATCCTCGCTGTCCTCCTCGGCCCGCTCGTCCTTGTCGCTGTCTTTCCCATGGTGCTTGCTGTGCCTTGCTTTCTGGTGGATCCTCTGGTGTCGAACTAGGCTGTGCTTTAAGGTGAAGGTTCGCTCACAGGTCTGACACTTGTATGGCCTTTCTCCTGAGCAGGGGAAAAGGAAAATGGGATTTCCATTAACATGAAGATCACTGGTTCCCACCTCCCCTGCTCTATAGGAATGCAGCATCCAGAACTAAATAAACAGGGACATGACCCTTTGCTACTCAGGAAGAGCCTTCTTATTTGCCTGAACTTGCAAGGCTAGGGGTCACATTCTTTCTCTTGTACATTTTCACCTAGGCCTTCTACAAACTGTTCTTAAAAGAACCCCAAAGCCAGGTGGGTGCAGTGGCACATGCAGGTAATCCCAGCACTTGGGGAGGCAGAGGCAGGTGGAACTCCAAGTTCGAGGCCAGCCTGGTCTAGAAAGTACATGACAGCCAAGGCTACATAGAGAAACCCCGTCTGGAGAAAAGAAAACACAACAGAAACAAACAAACAAGAACCCCAGAAGCAAACAGTTCTGCAGGAGGAATGATTGGTCCTTGCCCAGGCTCTGCAAGGACTGCAACAGCCCTCTAAATCAAGGCACAAGGAAGTACAGTTTGGCTTTTGTTGACACCTTACATACCAAGTTTCCAACAGCTGAGAACATCTCTGGCCAGAACAAGGCACCAGCATGCCACACCTCAGTGAAGGGCCTGGCTGGCTGTGTCAAGATGGCTGTGCATGGGAGGCCATGATGGTGAGATCTGGACAAGGGGTTGGAGTGCTCTCTTTGGAGGGATGGTGGAGGAAGAATGTTTCTATATTTTGGCTTTACTGGAAGTTCCCCACCCCCTGCCCAAATAAGAGAACCTTCCTTGAGGTCTTCACAACATGGGCCAGGCCAGCACCTGCCTTCCCTGGCATATCCCCCGAGAAGCAGGATCTGGATGAGGACTACACTGGATGGACATATGCCCACTCTTCTTGCTCTAGAAGCCTGTGGTCAGTCATGGCAGCCATCCTCCCTACCTATAGAGAACAAGACTGGGGCTGAGTGACAGAGGAAAAGTGATTTCCAAAGTACCACTGCAGAGGGACCACCCTCCTGTCCTGCAGAAGGCTTGTGCCAACTCCTTAAGACCCCCAGTTTCCCCAGCTCCCAGATCAAAGGACAACCCTGAAACCTAACCAGTTCCCTCAAAGACCTCTGGAATTGACTTCCGGTGAAACTCCCAACAACTACTGCAGGCCCCGCTTGCCTCTTCTGGCAGACTGGGCCTGGGCTCTCTTACCTGTGTGCGACCTCATGTGCCGGGTGAGGTCCTGCAGGGACCAGAAGCGCTTGCTGCACACGCTGCAGACCTTCTTCCTCTTGTCCGCCTTACTGGCCACGCTTCTGGGGGAGTCTGTCTTTGGTCTCTTGTCACTGTCACTGCTCTTTTCAGCTGTGCCTTCGCCATCAGAGGGACCCTCTGTTTCTTCATTCTGTTTCTCCACTGAAGCCTCCCTGGTTCCTGGTGTTGGATCTATCGCTGGGGATTCGGCAGGCTTCTCCTCAGGCTCAGGGGAAGGTGAGGGCCCCTCACCTGCTCTGCCAGCGCTCTCACTCTCCAGCGAAGGGGCCTCCTTCTCCTCCTTCTGCTCCTGGCAGCTGTGTGCTTTCCTGTGGCGACTTAGGGTGCCCAGGAACTTGAAGCTCTTTCCACAGGTACTGCAGCTATACTTCTGCTCCTGCTGGGCTGTGCCTTGGCTGTCCACAGTGCTTGCCTCACTCTCTGCCAGCTTGAAGTCCATCAGCTTGCTGGCAAAGTCAAGATCCAGGCTCTGGTTGCTGGCTGTGTCTTCCTCTGGGGCATCTGCATCCCTGGTGTTCTCTTCCACGCCACATTCTTCCTCTGGCTCTGGGTCCTCCTCCGTCCCTTTTTCTCTGTCCTCCTTCTCAGGCGGCGCTGCTGCCTCTGCTTTGGCCTCTTTAACAGTAAGGTCCTGTGTAGCTGGGCTGAGCTCCACGGCTCCCTCTGATGGTGGCTGCTCCTTATCCCGTGCTGTGAGATCCAGCACCTCACCTGGGGTGGCCAATGTGTCGGTGTCTGACTGGCTGTCTGTGTAAGGAAACAGAGTGGGAAAGGGGTTCAGATGAGGTGACAGCGAGCATATGCCCTTTTTAAGGGCTCTACTGGGACTTGGCTGGACCCACCCTGGCAGCCTGGATACTAAACCTAGTGAGTACCTTTTGAATTTGGAGTTATAAGGGCTAAAGCAGCCTTCACATTCCCGAGTAAAGCAGATGGGCTCTTGTGCCTCAGAACTCCTGACCTCCACCATCAAACCCAAGGACACTCAGCTGTCCCCACCCCCAGGAAGGTGTGTTACTCAGGCAGTGCAGATAGAGAGGGCGCGCATTCCAGAGATTCAAAAGTACTAGGGAGGTTGAGGAAGCCAAGTTGTAAAGGTTATCTTTCCAGTGCAAAGAGCTTCTGCAAACATGCAACACATACAAGAACACCCCCAGCCCCCATCTTCCAAACGTGGCCCTCAAGGAGCGTCACAGAACAGGCCCACACATGTGTATTCTAGGTATATGGTCCACAGGCACATCTCCAGGTAGAGGCCACAGGCCAAAGATGCTCCTGTACCTGTAAGCAATGAATGGGGAGGCAAACACGCTCAAGAGCATGTGGGGAGGGATGGCAGGTGGCTCTGAGGGGCTGTGGGTGAGCATGAGGACAGGGATCTATAGAGTGAGGCTCTGGCGGTGATTTCTTGCTCCCACAGTAACCCCTCACAGCAAAACCAGACATGGGAAGTCCACCAACTTTCCATGACCTTAGAAGAGGGCACCATGTCCAACATTAATGACAAGGCCAGGCACACTGGTGCACACCTTCAATCTCAGCCCTTCAGAAACGAAAGTTGGTAAGAGTTTGAGGCTAGGTGAGCGCCACTGTGAGTTCAAGGCCAGCCTGGGCTATGAAACAGTTGAGAGAGAGAGAGGGAAAGAGAGAGAAAGCCACATCAAACAGTATTGGGAGCATTATCTCTTTTGCACGAGAGCTGAGCAAGGACTTAATAATGGTTCTAACAGTGAAACGGAACTGGCTGAGAACTGTTTGTCTGCAGACTTAATGTCAACTTACTATAGGTGTTCTGTGCTTCCTTTGAACCCCACAGAGGAAACTGTTTTACCACACACATGTAAGGTGTACCCTGTGACAGGCACATCTCTGATCAGTGCTTGAGTCAGCAACAATTCACACACCTAATCTGAGGCTCTTACTTGCTGTATGAAATGAGCCAGAAGGCTACCACATTTGTATCATTCCTTCTGTCACATGCCTCCGGGTGCGTCTTGGGATGGGGAGAGAAGCTGCCTCAGACATAGTACTTATACTTCAAGCCAGCTTGGGGATTCCGGCTCTCCTGCAACCAAGTAGGGTCATTTCCACTTACGGCAATTGGCTGGTTTCATTCTTACTGCACCTAGGAGAGGCTACTGTTTGTGTCAAAAGGCTTCAGAATTCAACAAGTAATCATGATCTAAAGATAATTTGTGACAACAAGCAGGAATCCTGAGAGATGTACACTAATGTTTAGGCTCTACTTTAAAAAAAAATATATCTATGCTCATTTTCTTGAATTACAGAGGGCATCTATGGAATGGATTTTGGTTTAAACTCTCAAACAACAAAAGCACATAATGTTTGGATTGCTTACTTTGTAAGTAATTCTGTGTGTGCATTTATGTGTTTGTGTATACATGTGTTTGGAAATCAGAGGCCAGTATCTGCCTGTTGTCTTCCTCAATTACTCTTAATTTATTAATTAACTGACAGAGTTTCTCACTAATCTGATGCTTGCTGATTGGCTAGAGTGGCTGGCCAACAAGTTCCAGGGTCCTCTGTCATCTTGCTCTCACAGTGCTGGGATACTTTATTTTCCCGAGACAGGGTTTTTCTGTGTAGCCTTAGCTGTCTTGGACTCGCTTTGCAGACCAGGGTGACCTCAAACTCCCAAGATCCACCTGCCTCTGCCTCCACAGTGCTGGGATTTTAGGCATGTGCCAACACTACTGGATTTTTTTTTCTTTTAAATGGGTGCTAGGGATTGAACTCAGGTCCTCATTTGTGTGGCAAGTACTTTTCAGAATAAGCCAAATTCAGTTTAAAAATAAGGTTAATTTCTGGTCAATTCTACTTTTCTCCAGCATACCCTAGGCTGTTCCTATTATTGGGTTTTCAACAAAAACATGATTTCTTTCTTTGGAACAGGAGCTTGCTATATGTATCCTAAGCTACTCTCCTGAACTCATGCTTCTCCCGTTTTAACCCTGGAGTAGCTTGGATTAAGACAGCACATAAGCTGTGTCAATGTACTTAAAATGATAAACTTATGAAAATAAAAATGAATTCTGAAACCCAAGTACACGCACTAAGACTGAATTGTACCACTGGTGATCCTGTTCTGAGGGTAGATAAGTTCTCCCCTTGTACAATGGGGCCCATGCTTTTGAACAAAGGTGGCTTGGTTGCATTCCAGACTTCCACTAGGGGGAGTGTTTTAGCAGGATAGCCTCTGACTTGGTTTTGTATGACTCCTGGGAACAACAGACTTAACCTCCTCACATATGGAGCATGAGTAGTCAACTTGAACGGGCAGGTCCTATTACGGCTTCTTCTCAAAACCCTGCTTCCAAATGTAGGTGGCCTACCTCATCGCTTCTCCCGGGGCAATGCAACCTTAAAAGAACGCACTGCTTCTCTGTGCCCAATACTCTCCACTTAGTGTCCTGGACACTCAGGAAAACCGCTGGAGGAAGCAGAATGAATCCCAGTAGCTACTGAGTGTCCAGCTCCTCCTACAGGATGGCAGACTTTGCTGGTCATCTCCACAGTTAAGGAATGAAATGCCACTCAGTTAAAAGTGACAGATGCAACTGGCCTACACAACCAGACGGACAGGGGAACTTTTGGTTGTACTTTGTCTGACGTGTTTAAGCAGACAGAGCACTTTTGGGTTACCAGCCCATGTGGACAGACAACAGGACTCCTGGGTTGGTAAAAGTGCCTTCCATCAAGGAATAGCTTAAAAACATCATGTTTAGGGGCGAGGGAGAGGGCTCCAAGTGGTTAAGATCACTGGCTGCTGTTCAATTCCCAGCAAATACAGGGTGGCTCACAACCATCTTTAATGGGATCTGATGCCTTCTTCTGTCATGCAGTCATACATGCAGACAGGGCATTAAGTATTTTAAAAACCCCACTCATGTTTATATTATAAAGGGTCCTGTCCAGATGCTTACCAACAAGTTGGCTCTTCACTCATCACCGGAGTAAGAACCAAGAACATTCCTAAAGGGCTTGATAAGCAGAGGAAAAGAGTTTCAGTTTATTTAAAAACTGAATATTTAATATAGCCCTTTAAGGAAAAAACTGTCCCTATCATTGTATTTTTAGCTTTGGGTGCAGGGGAAAATCTGGGTTCATTTTCATGGAATACCTTATGTGGTTGGAAAAGTCATACCGACATTATAAAACATGTTTAGGGATTTTAAAAGAATTCAATCTACACACATAAACCAAACCTCAAAAACTTCAGCAACTACCTTGCCTTTTCCTGTCTCTTTAAAACAAAGTCTGTTTAGGATTAAGGAGGTAGGTCAGTTGGTCGAGTGCTCACCTACCTAAACTGATGGACTTGTAAGGGCCTAGCTTTGCCCCTAAGCACTGTATAAATTGGGTGTAGTGATATATATGCAGAGGTAGGAGCAGGAGGATCAGAAGTTCAAGGTCCTCCTTGTGTTGGAGAATAGCCTGGGCTAGCCTGTCTCCAAGGTCAAAGACAGAGCATAAAACCCCACCTGTTCCTCCAGCCTCGGCTAGTGTCACATTAATCTGGTTTGTAAATTTCTTAAATTCCTCAACTCCTATGTCTCCTGTTCTGCTTTCTCTCCCTCCTACATCTATCTTCTCTCTCACCACGGGATGTGCCTGCAATTAAACCAAACACTTCTCTCTTTGCTCGGTTCACAACTTTCAGTGACTTCTTTTCCCAGAGGCTTTGTCCCTTTAAGAAAATCTATATAACTTCTGGGGCAGGGCCTTGGAAAAAGAAAACCCATAATTGTAAACTTAAAAAATAAATACACCCCACAGGCTAACACTCCGTAATTTCTGACCAAGCTTTGCCATCGGCAGGGCTCCTGTTAATGCCCTCTGGGATTAGCAGGGCGCAGTGCCTGAGGCTTTTTTGGGGACAGGAGTTCCAACCCTAAGGCAACCCCAGGTCAGCTGCCTTCCCCCCTGAACTGGTTTGGGGAGAACCGCAGGCCCATTCTGCAAACCAGGCTGTAAGAGAATGTGCTCCAGTCTAACAGGTGCCGTGGCAACGATGGTTAAACAGGCCAGCCTGCAGCTTGGGAAGCAGATCAGGCTTGGCTCACAGGGATTCCGCCACGGCGGGATACCTTCCTTTACTCACAGACCCTGGAGAATCATTGTGCGAATGGAAGTCGGAGGTGTTGGGGATGTGGAGACAGCAAACCAGCTGGACCATTCTTGTCCTTAAGAGGGTCTGGCTTGGGCAGAAGGACCCAGCAAGCCAAAGGCACTTCATTGCTTTCACTAGGTTGAGTGAAAAGTGTGGGAAGGGTAGAGGTGGCGTCCCCACTGGGGTCAGCTCTCCCAGAAATCCGGTCTACTGTGATAGGTCATCACTGAGGTAAGGATAAGGGCGTCAGGGGTTGACTCCTTGAAGCCTGCATCTGCAATGCCCTTACTGCTACCTGACTGGAGTAAGTAGCCTGCAGCAGCTTATATTTATTTTATTTTGGTTTTTTGAAACCGGGTTTCTCTGTGTAGCCTTGGCTGTCCTGGACTTGGCTGGCTTCAAGGACCAGGCTGGGCTCAAACTCACAGAGATATGCCTACCTCTGCCTCCCAGAGTGCCGAGACACAGGAGTGTGCTACCACACCCGGCTGCAGCTTAGTTTTTGTATGGCGTGTTTCAGGGTAGCATACTCTCAGCAGTCGAAATATGGAGTGTATTAAATAAAGGACGTAAGTCAATACAGAAGCTGAAAGGGTGAAGGTGGCGTAAAAGGAGTGGGGCAGTGTTAATTACTCTGTAAGGGTTGGAGGGAGGAAGCACACACCAGCACAGGAAAATAACACCTGGATCCAAGTCAAGCAGAGTCGTGATTAAAGAAAGGACATGCAGAGTGCTTTTTCAAACAAGGACAGGCTTATACTGGGAAGAGTTATTGAAAAGAAATGCCCTGCCTTGCCCCACCTCAACCCACCACCAACTAAAGGCTTAGGGTGGGGGGGTCACAGTTCCTGCAGTACTGAGTCCACTGGGCAAGTGCTGCTCAAGAAAGCTGCAGGATCTGGGTCCCCCAAACTTGAGAGCTTCGCATTTCCTTTAGCGATTTACACTGGGAGCTGAAGCTGCACAAGGTCCGGTTCATCCCAGCTTTCAGGCTCAGAACAATGGCAATTTCTGGAGGGAAGGTGCTGGGTCTCCCTCCCAAGCAGCTCCAAACTCCCCTAGGCACTGACACTTATTCCCCCAACTCTATGGGTCTTGGCGTCAGACAGTCTAGGCAGCGGTTAGGCTTCCAGTCCTCTGCCAGCCCTCGGCTGTGGCTGCACGGTGCCCAGCCCCAGCTCACACACTTTAACGGAGCTCTCGGGGGAATGCCCTCCTCTCTCTGATTCTCCACACCTGGAGGCTCTACCTGTGCTATCATGGGATCCAACATCACCCTCTTTTGGGGGAATAAGCCCGTTTCTTCTCAGGGAGCAGGTGGTAACTCCGTGTTTGCGCAACTGGTGGCGTTCACAGTTAGATTTGGTAGAAAAGAAGGCGTCGCATTTTTGACAAGGGAAGGGTTTCTGACCTGAAGCAGGAAAAAAAAATATGTATTTATCTGGCTTTCTACTGAAATGAAAAAGAAAAGTTTTTGATTTACTCTCCGTGGATTGCTGGCATTCGTTCACCCCTCCACCCTTTCCTTTTAAGAAAATAAGAGAAACACACGTAACAAAAGCAAAAACCGAGAAACAGTGACTAAAATAACCATTTTCCCTTAACCTTCAAGTATTAGAAGGAGCTGTCAAATGACTAAAAGAGAGTTAACAATGAAACCAAGATGAATGTGTTTGAAGCAAGACAATAAAAACCGTTAACACCACAAGATTTTTAAGTCATGGCAAGCAATACCTACATAACCAGAGGAAAAAAACCACTACCCTCTAGCTTGGCAGGTAGTACTAAAAATTAGGAGATGGAACAGGGAGAGATCATGAATCCCTGACAACCTTCAAGGCCCATAAAGTCTGAGTGAGCCCTCCCTCCAATGTGGCAGGTCTCCTCCTTCCTGACAGGGTAGTTGTGGCCTCCCACAGAGGAAATTCTGCAGTGACCGCTACCTAGGCCTTCCTGGCAAGTAACAGGAGGGCTCATCCCACAGGTTCCCAGGTTCTTATTCTTGCTTTGTACAGGCTAAGTTGTGAGGGACCAACACATAGCGAGGTCTGAGGTCTGCATCTGGTCATATACTCTGCTCCACAGATGTACCAATGCACAGATACCTGGCTCAAACACCATGACAGTGCTACAAGAGGGCCGTGATGTGTTGGGAGGAAAGGCCCCCTTCCCTTCCAGGGTTTTTTCGGCTTTGGCCTGCTTATATTCTTCATTTATTTGATTCAGTTTGCACTGTAAACATTGTTTCAAATTGCACAGCTTCCCTGTGGCTAGTCCTGGGTGTATGGATTGATCCGGAGCCGAAAGCCCAAAAGCTCAGGGGGAGAGTATGCATGAGAAAGTAGGACAGGAGAATGGGAAAAGAGATAGAGGTAAAGAAGGAACGGGGGGACAGGGAGGGATAAGAGAAAGGAGTAAAGGGAAGGAAAGAGGAAGGAGGAGGAGAAAAGGAAAGGGGGAAAGAGAGAGAAGGGGAATAAAATAAAAGAAAAGAGAGGTAGGAAGACAGGAAGGGAAAGGAAGAGGCGGCACCCAGAGCTTTAGGGGAGTAGGCAATGGTGGACTGTTCAGTGTCCCTGGTTTGCCCCCCTTCCCCTCCAGTTTTGGACTCCACTGGGGATAAGGTGTCTCACACTAAAAAACAAAAACAAAAACAAAAACAAAAAACAAAAACACACACACACACACACACAAAAAAAAAAAAACCCTTAGAGTTGTTGCCTAGAGCTGCTATCTTGGAACCTTGACCCTGTAGGCTGCCTTCACTAGCTAACAGAGAGAGTCACATGGCACAGCTCCCAGGGATGCACAAACCAGGGTCCTTCCCTTTTACTTCAAGACTGGCAAAGCTTGGACTAGTGTAGTGAGCAAGATGGCATCGCAGAGGCCCCTGGGGCTTGCTACTGGGAGGAGCCAGGGAACTTCTTGTGGAAGTAAGGCCCAGAATGTCCATGACAATGCACCATGATTGCTTTCAGGAATAATCACTCACTCACTCAAAGGCAAGGGGCATTTACTCCCTTCTGAGAACACACACCCTTTAAGATGAAGCCTCCCAGACCTCTGCAGGAGCTGTCTGACAGTGCAGACTGGCCAGGGATGCAGCTCACAGACACAGCTCTTGTGCAGTACCAATGTGGCTCTGGGCTTGAACTACAGCACTGAAAAGAGCTGCAGCAGCAACAACTACCCACAAAACCAAACAACTGAAGACGCCGACCCCAGCAATGTCCACTCCAAGGAGTAGAAAGGCATACAAGAGGTGTATGGGGTTGAGGTGAATAGGCAGACACGGAAGTTTACATCAATCCAAGCATACTTACAGACCTTGGAAAGGCCATATGAAAATCCTGCCATTTGTTTGGACAAGGGACCATTGCACACTAGTTGAAAACCCACCAATTGCTTGGTGAGTCCCCTGACATGGGTCTGCAGGAGTTTTTGGCTAAGAGTACAGAAAGCACCCTCACTTATAAGACAAAAAAAGACAAAAACCTTGGGCTGGAAAGATGGCTGAGGGGTTAAGAGCATTGGCTATTCTTCCAAAGATCCTGAGTTCAATTCCCAGCCACCATCTGGTGGCTCCCAACTGCCTGCAATGAGATCTGCTGCCCTCTTCTGGCATGCAGGCACACATGAAGGCAGAGTAGTGTATAGATAACAAAAGTAAATAAATCTTTAAAAGGTTATCAATTAAATATTCATAAAAAAGAAAAATCTTGAGTAGCTGGCTGTAAAACATCTTGCTGTGTATTTTTCAGGTGGCCTTTTCGCTTTTCATCAATAACTGAGCACAGTATCTTAAAATTTCCTTTACTATTTCTTTGTCAAGAAAGTAAGAGAGCAGCTTCTTTAGGTCTGGCCAAAAGTGGGGAAGAGAACCAAGAAATAAGGAGCTGGAGTGGAGCGAGAGGCGGAGCATGTGTTGTGCAGCATGTTAAAGCATCATCAGGTACCAGCACCAAAGGGGGGGGGGGGGGCGGTAAAAAAAAGGAGGAAAAGGCCAGAAGCTGCTACACTGCAATTCTTTAAATTAATTTTTATAAAATTTGTGCCTCTGTGTGTATGAGTACATGTCCGTGTGTGGGAGGCCAAAGACGTGTGGAATCTCTTCGTGTTGGGGTTGCCAGCATTCGTAAGTTGGCCAACTTCTTGCATAGTTGCTGGGATCTGAACCCCATTCTTAACCACCCAGCCATCTCCACTATGCCTGGATTCTAGCCTTTGAAAATGGTAGATTCCTTCTATTAAGTGATTTACTTTTTAGTTTTCATATGCTTTTCCTTTATAGGTGGTTTGGACAGCCAGGCTGTATTCCATGATGAAGAGTCGTGTTAATTTAAAAGACAGTTTTGTACTGTCCAAGCATTAGGCCACGGGAAGGACCTCAAACTAACAAGTAACACAATCATTTAAATGTCACATGTTCACTGCAAAAAATAAAAATAAATAAATAAATAAAAGCAGTATGCTTTTTGACTTGAGAGATGCAAAAATAGTGAGCCCTTTTAGTATTTTATAATAGGTCTAAAAATTATAAATGGACTTTACCCATATCACATGCGATAACCATTGGTAGTGGTCCTATTTTGCGTGTGAGTGAGTGTGTGTGTGTGTGTGTGTGTGTAAGAGCAGTTGTAACCATAAGGGACTACTTTTGTAGCTAGGGCCTGTATGTCTGCCATCTCAATGTGAACATTAAAGCCACCAGTCAGTCAATATTCATTCATGCAGAGCAGTCAGAGAAGAGAAGGAAGAGAGGCATTATCTGAAGGACACCGGGAACAAAGCCAGTCAGAAGGAACAACAGTTTGCTGAGGACAACGGGACCTTGTTTGTCAAGTTCTAAATGGACGGGTTGCAAATGTTCTCTGAAGAGAATCAAGGTTAGAACTAGCCGGTGACTGACTCACATGGAGCTTTGTGTGGTGACCAGACTGTAGGAGCTCAAGCATTCCTGAACTTTCCACAGATTCTACCCTCAGGGCCAAGACATTGCTTTTCGTGCCTTTTTTTCTTCTGCAATTAAAGCTACCACTTAATAAAGTAAAAACCTGGGCTGGAGGGATGGTTCAGTGGTAAGGAGTACTGTCCTTGAAAACACGAGTTTGGTTCTCAGTACCTACATTTGTTGGCTCACAAGCACCTGTAATTTGGGCTCCAGAAGATCCAAAACCCTCTTCCATACCTGCACACATATGTGCAGGCACACATACAAGTGCATATACAGAAACATCAATTAAACCTTAGTAAAAGGCAGCCAGGCGCAACTGGCTCAAGTTGCTTTCTATACTATCAGGACATCTCCTGAATTTAAACCTCAGTGCTTGCTACCAATTAGCAATGGGTAGGAGGTGAGAGGGAAGAGCCCAGGAGCTGGCAAAGGAGCTCAAGGCAGGCATGAGAAAGGGAATGAGCTAGGGAACCCCAGATGTTACAGCTGGAGGGGTTCTCAGACATTGCACCATCCTGACCCGTCACTGTGGAACAAGGAACCAGAGCAAAGGGAAGGAGGAAGAGATGAGGACAGGAGCTGAAAGGGACTGGTTGTGTTTGCTGGCACTCTGTCTTCCTGTGGCCTGAAGACACAGGCTGAGATGCTTGAGAGGGGAATTGGCAGGAACAGTGCATCGTTGTCTCATGAGGTACAACACGTTCAGGAACAGAACAGTGAGCCACAGGTTGGAGAGAGCTTGAGGAGGGAGGAAACTGACTGTGTAGAAACCACACAAGAGGACTTGAAAGATGACAGTTTCCTCCTCAGATGCAGTTCCTGGAACCTAGGCAGAATAAACGGCTAAAGGCACGTTTGTGCTGGCAGCCAGCATCCGGCCCCTTTGCTCCATTGTAGGGAGTGGGTAGACTGAAGAAATGTGTTGAGACAAAGTACAGATGCTGGGATAATTCCACAGTTTAGAGGACTGAAAAAGGCCATCTCTCATGATGTCGGCAGATTGCTTAACTACAGTGGAAACTGGGTTTTGCTCAGTGCTGTTGGTTGGACTTTATTCTCTATGTGTGTGTGTGTGTGTATGTAATGAGGGAGCATCCACATGCCATGTGTGTAGAGGTCAGAGAACAACCAGTGGGAGTTAGTTCTTTTCTTCTACCATGTGGGTCCTGGGGACTGAACAAGCTCAGAAGTTCCTAAGCCAGCAGTGACGGCCTTCTGGAAACAAAAATGCAGATAGATAATCGTAGGGACTGGACTCTCCCTTGGGGCCGTGTCTCTGGTATCTGCAGATGCCAGCACAAATGGAAAAGAATTTTATGGGTTCTTCGGGTTTCAACAGAATGTCAGTTTGCTGGGAGATGGCCTATTCACAGAAAATTTGCAGTGTTTACCAAGCCTAGGGCTTTCATTCACTGAAAAGAGAATGTGGGGAAGGGCTGGGAGAAATCATGAGGTCCAGATAGGCTCAAAAGACAGCCCCACCCACAGTGCTTCCAGCAGGCCCAGAAGACAGCTTACACCCACTTCCCACTATCCTCTCTTCTCAATACTGCTGTAAACCCAACTGCCTTGCTTTTCCATAGTTTGCAAGCAAAATGACAAAATGTCCAGATAAATTTGAACTTCATTCAGATCAATAAGGCATGTTTTCATCTGTCCCAAATACTTCAAAAATTACTTGGTCTGAAATTCAAATCTTGCTGTTGATCTATACTTTATCTAGCAATCCTGTACTATATACACAGTAAGAATATTTTTTTTTCTGGTATAATCTGTTAATTTTTGATTTGCAAACTCCAAAGGTTAAGGACCTCATTCAGTGTACATATCCCAATGATCAATGACATAAGTCCCATGATAATATTAAAAAAATTGTAATTACAATAAAAGACATGTTTGTGGCTAGTGAAATACTGGAAGCACCCAGCATAAAATAATTTAATAAACATTCTGTATTTTAAACTTGTAAAATCCAACTTCTAGAAACTAACATCTGAAAAATATTTTTTTGAATATCATTTTGGTAATTTAGCTTTGTTATTTAAAACATTCCAATTATAGTTAGAACATATTCCCCAACAGTTGACAATTTTAGGACAAACAGAACTTACCACTATCAATCATCTATCATAGCTATTCAAAATAGGAGAAAAAGCTAAAATAAAATAAAAAATAGGGGAAGATGCAGTTACCCTAGCAAAGTGGGGAAAAGGCAAACCACACTTTGTAGTACTTCCTTTTACATGTATGGTGGGCTCAGAAGCCCACAGAATCTACGAAGTGAAAGGCAGCTCTGAAGATATAGGATGAGCTTCCTCATGTCAAAGCACCTGCTCGCTCACTACATCTTTAGTACCTTAATGCAAAGCCCTGCTTCTCAGGAATAGCCTTCATACTTAACTTAGTAGAAAATCCTGAAACTTGTCAGACAAAGGATGTAAGGACGGAAGAAGGGAGGGCCTCTATGACCACTATTCCACCTGTGTCTGATACATTTGTTGACCAATAACTCTTGGTGGCTCAGACCAATGGCATAGGTTATACAGAAACTGACAGCCTGTGACTTCCGAGATGAAGAAGGAAGAATGGAAGGTGAAAAAAAGGGCCCCCAGTGTTAGGCCTACTCCTACCCCTCACTGTCTCTCTCAAGACTCAACGCTTGGTGAACCCTGAGGGCCTTCTTACCAGTGTGTGTAAGCATGTGCCTCTGGAGGGAGCTGGCCCAAGGGAAGACCCGGGGACAGTGTGGACAGTTGATCTTCTGTAGGCAGTTAGAGTATGAGTTCCGCTTTGCTCTCAGCATCCTGTCTTCTGCAGGGCTACCTTGCTCCTCATCACTGGGCCCATGGTGGTCTGCAGGGGCTCCAGCCACCTCCTCCTGAGTGTCATCCTCTGCAGTCTGCAGAAATGGACTGAACTTGTTGGTATCTGTGGTAGCCAGCATCTTCTCAATGCTAGCAAACTCCCCACTGGAGTCCAGGTCCACACCACTGCTGTTGGTGAGGGGCCGATTTCTCACTGCCCTTTTCCTACCCCTCTTCCTGGACGAGCCAGCTGGCCCTTGCTCAGTAGGCAAAGCTTCCTCTGGGCTACTGGCCGTAGCGGGTGGGTCGCTGGATTCTTTAGAGCTTGTGATGTCAGTGGGGGTGATGGCAGCTTTGGGGATGGAGCTTCCTAAGCTATCTGTGGCCACAGTGTTACTGCTGGTGATTGGTGGCTCAGGGTCAGCTACCTTCGTTTTCAGCAGAGTAGGGGCCGAGGACACAGACGAGATGATCTGGGCAATGGAGGCCAGTGGCGGCAGTTCCTCTGTCATGGGGGGCTTTGGCAAGAGGAGGGGAGGCTTTGGACGTAAGGGCCTAAGCAAGGCTGGGTTGTTCAAGAGAGCAGAGTTGCCCAAGAGGGCAGGATTGCTGATGAGTGCTGAGGAATAGATGGGGACAGCCAGCTGCACAGAACCCTGGAGGGACTGTGTGGGGGGTTCCAGATTGGCAACTGTGGTGACGGCCACCACAGTGCCTGCAGGGTTTTCCAGGCTCCCTCTGGGCTCCACAGTCACTGACAAAGTAGGGCAGGGTGGTGGACAGGGAGAGAGCTGCTCAGCTTTCCCAGCTTCCGGTTCCGGTTGCTTGGCATCATTGGGTACAACTGTGTCTTTGTCTCCTTTCTTTATACTCTTGGGGATAGACAGGTCAATGGGCTCCATGGAACAGTCATAGAGGGCAGAGGAGGAAGAGTTCAGCAAGGAGGACATATTTTCCTGCTTCACTTGGACCAGTGACAGGCCTTTCTGCGAAAAGTCCAGGGGTTCGTTGAAGTCCACTGCAAAGCTGCTGGCTGGCTCCAACTTGACAGAGATGTGGGAAGGCAGGGGCTGGGTGGGGCTCACGTGAAGAAAGCCATTTTGAGGCTCCAGGAAAGTGGCGAGGGGCTTGCATTCCCCCAAAGTGACGCAGCTGCCCTCCTCTCCCCTGGCAGAGGCCTCTGGGGGCGTGTCTGTAAGGCCAAGGCCACCATCAGTTGCAAGCACATAGCTCTCGATGTCACGCTCGGGCACGTGCAGGTGCTGCTTAAGGATGTGGTGGATGCAGTTGCGCTTGGTCACAAAGGCAGCATTGCATTCCTTGCACTCGAAGGGTTTGCGGCCTTTGTGGCAGCCACCCAGGCCTCGGCTGCAATGTGTGCGCATGTGAATGCGCAGTGCACGGTAGTGCTTCAGATCTTCCCCACACAGCCTGCACACAGTCTCTGGGGAGCAGAAGGCATCCACCAGCTCGGCCGTGCTGCTGCTCACATATTCTATGTTCTTTTCGATGTCCTTTCTGGTGGCCTTGAGGTGCTTCTTGCGTAGGTGCCGCTCACAGTTGGCTTTGACTGTGAACGGGTAGTGGCAGATCTTACAGATGTAAGGTCGCTCCCCGCTGTGGGTACGAAGGTGACGGATAAGAGCAGCTTTGTCTGCAGCGATGTAGTCACAGATGTTGCACTGGTAGGGTGAGATGCCCAGGTGGGAGCGAACATGGGCTCGTAGAACCCCAGAGAAAGCAAACACCTGGTTGCAAAAGCGGCAGGGATAGAGCACCTTGCGCATGGCGGGGGTCTTCTTGCCACCGGGGCCTGTCATGATGGCCTTTAGGTCACCCTCCGTTATCTCCTGCTTGATCTTCGCCTCCATGTTGAGGGGCAGCAGGGCCTCAATGATGCTGTCCTGCTCCAGCTGCGTCTTCATCTCTGGCTGGCCTGGCAACTCCACTCCAGGCTGCTGCAGGAAGAGCTGTGTGGTGGTGTTTGGCTGGACCACAGAGTTGGGCTGCAGCAGGTGGGCAGTAGAGGCTACCTCGACTGGCCCCTTGAGGAACTTCAGGGACTGTGGAGGAAGGCTGGGGCTGATACACCCAGGGGATGCCTGTTGTGCACTGATGAGGGGTGGGGGTGTAGACGTGGCTACCACTGTCCGGGGTGTGACCAAGGGCTTTGGCTTCAAAGGAGGCATGTGCTTGAAAATCGCCTGAAGGGGGGTGGCAGGAGCCTTGGAAAGTGGCGGAAGACTGATTTGTGGAGGAGCTGAAGCTGCCATCTTTAGAATCTGTTGGATATCTGCCAGCTCAATGGCCGACTCTCCTGAAATAGGCTTAACTACAATGCTGCTGTCCGGCTGGATGATGAAGCCCTTTTGGAAGGGCTGCAGGGACAGATGCTTCATGTTCTCCTTGGTAGCTGGGAGGACTGCCAGAGAACCACCTAGAGAAGCAGCTTCAAAAGAAGACAGACTCAGCACAGTGGGGCGGCCAGGGTCCTGAGGTAGCTGACGCTTGAGTGTCTGGAGCTGTATTGCTTGGTTGTCATCCGGCAGGGGCTCCTCGGCAGGTGTAGGCCTGATGTCTTTGGTGTGCTGCAGGCCCAGCAAGGCCAGGAAGGCCTTCTGGTCCAGGGTATCATCAGTCAGGGTCTTGGCCTGGAGATTCTCCCGTCCCTGGTCAGCAGGGATGTGGGTCTGCCTGTGCAGGATGAGTGAGGACAGCATGGGGAACGCCTTGTCGCAGGTGTCGCACACGAACCGGTGCTGCTCGCTGATGCACCTTCGTAGGTTTGTTTCACACCAGGCCTAAGTGGAACCCACAAGCAAAAGCAAGGGAAGAAAGGTGAGGGTTTAAACATGATCCTGAAGGGAGACGTGAGAAGTGTCTGTCAGCAGCTTTTTTCATCAGTACAGAGTCAACCTTTCTGTGTGCGGTGCTGAGACTGAATCAGGAAAATGACAGAGAGAGCAGGTGTCAGGCCTACAGCCTTGTGGGCCACATGAGGCCTTGGACAACTTACTTAAGACATTAAGAGATATTTTTGTCACTCAACTGCACAGTTCCTAAGTGTGAGCTCTGTAGATGGATAGCAATGTCAAAAGGTTGATCATGCCTGAAAGAATCTCGCTTGTTTGATGAATGACACCCTCACTAGGGACATACAAAAGTACAGTGAAATAACATCATGATGGAGTCAGAATTAAGTCTTTGCAAAGGGGAGAGTGCTTACCCTGGTGGTGACAGCACAAGCTAGCACCTAGCAGACTGATGCCGGAGGACTGCCAGTTTGAGCAGCGCCAGGCTAGCTAAGAGGAAAAACCAGGGTGCCTGTTTCACACAACAAGAATTGGCCGCTTTTGTGACGGTGGGAGAGGGGACATCAGTCAACTGGGAGAGCCATGCATGTGTGTATGTGTCAAGCTCACTGCACTTGAGATTTGCCTAGTTCAAGGACTTCTACGTGGATACTTCCTATACATGGAAAAAAAAAAAATCAAAGAATAGCCTTGGTAGTTTATATATAGGCGGGGAACAAATTGGTTCATTTTCTGCTCAAATCAATAATGATACAAGGGGCTGGAGAAACATCAGCATCCACAGCCACATGACATATATCCATATTCATTCTTGTTCCCTCTCTCTCAAACACACACTAAAAAAAACAAAAACAAAAACAAAAACCAAAGTATTTTAACAGAAACTGCTAAAAATACCTAGTTGTGGTGTAGATACTAAAGACTACAACAAGGCATTGAGAGGGGTGGCGAATAAACAACTTTAAATCTCAAAGTCTGAAAAATGGGCAAAGGCGCTGATGAGCAAGCTTCACATAAAAACTCACAGAAAACTCAACTAAGATAAAAGACTATTGACTCCTTTCAGCCCAAGAAACCCAGGGAGGCCGAGGTCCATCAGCACATACCTGAGATATTCGAGGAAACTTCCTACAGGAGAAGTCAGTAAATCCTAAGTCATGGAAGCCAGCGGGAATTGAAGGATTGTTCTGGATGAAAGGTCTCCCCATAGCATCTCTGGGAAGCTGCTTGTGGACAAGTGCATTGTGGCGCAGCAGTCCTCGATGTGTGCGGAAGGTAACACAGCAAATGTCACATCTAGGAGAAAGGATTGACAACTGTGAGGCGGCAGCTCAGTCTCTACCAGTCTGATAGCCTTATCATAGGCTTTATTGCTTCATTTTAGCTGAATAAAATAAAAATAAGGTATAGAGGAGCCGCCTTGCCAGTGGGCTACAGATACTCTCCTTTTGATGTTGTAAAGGTATTTTTATTTTTGTAATAATTCTGGACACCAAGTCTTTGCCGGCGGTACAGCATGTATGTAAGACACTATCATCGAGAGTCTGTACACAAAGAGAAAGCAGTTGAGATCCAGAAGTCACCTCAGGGAGACCATGTCTCAATCAAACAAACCAACCAACAAACACAACACCAAAAAGCCCATGCTACTGGGCATGGTGGCACATGGCTCTTGAGAGTCACAAGGCACAACCCTGTTCACTACATATCCATATAGCACTAGTGAAATCACACAGCACTCCTGGTGTTACAGAGATAAAATAATTAAACTGGAAGTAACTGTATTAAATTCTTGTCTTACTGGCACTATTATCTGACAACCAAGAACTGAGCTCCCACAAGTGCAAATCCCTGCTGAGGAAGTGGACAGGAGGCCAAAAGGGTAGTGGACACTATGATCTCTAAATCTTCACTGAGTGCAGAATTTCAAACACTGCAATAATGGTATTATATATATATATATGTATCCCCATGTGACTATTTAAATGGAAATTCATCAAATGAGACAAGGCAGATGTGCACATTTACATGATGGCAGAGAGTTCCTTTTACTTGTATAACTATATCCCACTCTCATAAACTGTGGGGGGAGGGGCTTATTGCCACCGTTTTTACAGAGGTAAAGCAACTATATGTGTTAATAGAAGCCTTGTCGTTTATTCTTTTCTGGAAAGAAAGACAATGAAATCACGCATGTTGTAACTGAGCTCATGTGAATGAAACGCTGAAGAAGGGTCTGTGCAGCCCTGTTGATCACTCCCTAGTGGCTGCAGCCCAATGTAGCCATGTCAGATAACCACCTCTCGCCTCTCCTCTGTTAACCTGGAAACACCCCCTAAGCAAGATTCAGGAGAACAGTCTCCCATCGGCCACTGGAGACTCAGTACTCTGATTGAGGGGAGCTTCCACCAGTCATCATGGAAGTGTTGGGCTCAGACAATCAGACCGCACGAAAGGTTGGAAATGCTCTGGCCATGGGTTCACTGGCATAGTTCCCTCCTTGTGGGAGGGGCATATTCTGGGGGAGACTTTATACTACAGGATCCATCCCTTGCCAGAATACAAACAGGGCTAGGTCACAAGTCAGGGGACACTTAAGCTGGACAGCAGCACAGACACTAGCACTTGAGGCCAGGGTCTATTTTTGGGTGGGACAGGTTGGAGTTCTGACAGCACACACGTGATGCTGACGTCGGAGGTTGCTGAGCTGGGACGCTGAGTGCAGATGGGACTCTAGCTTTTAGGCTAGGTTCAAGCTAACTGGACATGGTTACCCCCAGCCTACCTCCCTATGCTCCTTAACACACCCATAAGAAGGGGAACTGCTTTTCCTCAACTAGTGAGGTGGCCCTGTATCACTTCAGGTTTCAACAATGACGACCTCCAGCAGGTGTTCAGCGTAAGGCGGGGCCTCAGCTGACAGAAACTAATCCCTTTGGCACATGTAACACGAAATGGCTCATTTTCTTGTTTTTCTGCCTGCACACTTATAAGACTATGAGAACTTTTGGGAGGGTTCAGGGAATGGAGGGAAGTGCTAAGTCCACTGCTCAAAATGCCCCACTGGATCAAGCTGCTGGCTCAAGCCCGTGACAGGGCACTGATCTCTCCGCACCAGGATGATGACAGAAGTCATGCTGTACCTTCCCTGAAAGGTGGAAAATCGGAGGGTAACAGGAGACCCGTTCCTGGTGTATCTCTACCTGCCATCTTCAATAACGCACTAACTCCTTCTTCTTATGGCAACATTACACTTTGTGCAGAACTTGCTGATTTTAAGTTAATCTTTACTACTGCTGGGCACTAACCTAGATGCTAAGAACATACAGCATGGGGCTGGAGAGATGGCTCAGTGGTTAAGAGAGCTGGCTGCTCTTCCAGAGCTCCTGAGTTCAATTCCCAGCAACCACATGGTGGCTCACAACCATTTGTAATGGAACTTGATTCCCTCTACTGGTATGCAGGAAAGCAGAACAGTCATATACATAGATTAAATAAATATTTAAAAAAATCCTACAGCATATATCTAGGCCCATTTTATTCTAACTATAGTAGACACAGAAAGTAAGGATAGGAACCAGTCACTCCTCGGAACAAAGCATTTACACGCAGTTCATGTCTAGTCTAAAGCTAGCTAGCTTGTTAATCAGGTAAAGAGAGGCCCCCAGCAATCCCTGCATCTCATCTGGGCAGCAGGGTAGAGCTGGCCCTGGTTGCAGGAGTTGCCCAAGGGTGTAAGAGCAGAGAGCCCAACATCTGACCAGTTCAGATACCTCTCAGGCCAAGATCCTTGAGACACACCAAGTAGCTAAGACAACAGGTACTTTCACTTCCCTTCTGAAAGGGTTTAGAGCAGTAGTTCTTCATCTGTGGGTTTCCACCCCCTTTGAGAGTCCCATATCAGATATTTACATTGTGATTCATAACAGCAGCAAAATTACAGTTATGAGGTAGCAACAAAATAATTTTATGGTTGGGGGTTACCACAACACGAGGAACTGTATTAAAGGATGGCAGCATTAGGAAGGTTGAGAACCACTGGTTTAGAGTAGCTCATAAACAACCTGCTTGAAATGGCAGATAAAAACCAAAACACAAACGGTTAACCCAAACCCACACAAACCACCCAAACACAACCCTCCAAATAAACCGATCAAAACCCTCACCATAACACACCAAAAACAATATCCTCCCCCCAATAAACCAAAACCCATTATAACCCACCCAAACAAAACATACCCCTCTAAATAAACGAACCCAAACCATATCTGTTTGAAACCATAAATGCATTGTGAGGCTGGGTAAATGGGGGCACACTCAGAACACTCTTGTGCCTCTCTGTCTCACACTCTGCACCTGTTGATAGACCTTAAAGAAAGCTGGGGAGAAAAACTATCACCTAGAAAAGTAGGGCCTTTATCAGAGACAAGGGTTTTGTAGCCATCCCCAGGCTGGGAAGCATGGCTTTGCAACCTTGTTTCTAAGTGCTTGAAGGACAAGGGAGGTCACTGTAGCTCTATGAAGCCTGTGGCAGCAGGCAGAGCCTGCAGCTGCTGCTCCTCTCAGGGTATCCATAGACCTAGCTTACACTCTTCATTAAGGATACAGCCACCGGCTTAGTGGTCCCAGGACTATGTTGCCCTCAACCCGGGTTTGTGGAATATCTTAGAAATGCCAGGAATCCATAAAGAGAATGATTGCAAAATATTTAGAAGAAAGAGGCAGGAACACACTCACGAGTCACAGCGAGGGGAAGCTGGTAAGAGAATTCCATGTTGTAACAGATCCTGAAGACGTGCCAGAGAGAACTTTCACACACCAGACTGGCTGTCTACTGATTTTCTGGCAATTGAAAAGGCCCTATGTTGGAAACCAACTTTGCTGTCAATAAAATAAATGTATTTGGGAGAAAGTGGATTTTTTTTTTGCCTGTGTGTGAAACCCAAAGAAACTATAAGAATTCACACTTCCTTCCAAAAATAAAATGGTCATATTGAAATAAGTTATTCCCACGGTGGGCTGAGGGGGATGGGGTGGGGAGATTCTGTGGAAAAACAGCTCAGGGACAGTTTGCATGCATGGAGCACACTGATGAAGTCAAAGGAAGACATCTGCCCGACCTCAGTTTCTATAGGCATGCTCAATATATTTATTGACTGTTAAAGCCCGGTGCTCAAAGAAACAGCTTTTGGCACCCCAAGGCAGAACACAGGTACTGACTCACTTAGAAAGCACCTGAATTAGCACCCACAGTAGCCAGTATAGCTAAGAAGATGAGAATTTGAATTTGGCATGTTAGGACATGGTCCAGCATTTTCCCCAGTCACTGAATCTGGGGTCTTTACCTCAGTAGGTTGGAGTACCGAGGCGCCAACAGACGTTCTCAATAGTGGGGGGAGGGAAGAGCTGCCTGCAGCTTATCTCTTCTCTCCTGGCCTCCCTTAGTAACACTTGGAGTATCAAGGATGGGTACTGGGTAGGTGTGAAGCACAGATAGCAGGCTCTGTAGGTGGTGTTGGGGTGGGGAGGTAACGCATGGATGGGAAACCCATCCCAGTAGCAGGCAGGATAAGTGAATAAAGTTTTGATTGTACCTGTTAATGCAGAGGGAGAACAGGGGTGCTGGAAAACTACAATCACAGAGAACCCGCAATATGTGCTTAGGGAAGTGGTTTTTTTTTTTTTGTTTGTTTGTTTGTTTGTTTGTTTTTTCATTTGTTGCCGTGAGAATTGGTTCTACAGGCCAGGAGTGTAGCTGAGTGTAGGGCACTTGCTTACCATATGTAAATTTCTGGTTTCAAACCCCAGTCATAGAAAAAAAAAAAAAAAAAAAAAAAAAAAAAGGCTCTGAGCCCCTCTCTATATCCATAGTGTCCATCCTTTCTCTTCCAAGTATCAAGGAGACTACTGAATTCTAGCTGTGACTTTTGCTAGGTTGGAAAGATTTTATTGCTAGTGTGCCTGGCTCCAGGGGAACTGATCTCTACTTCAACCTAAAGCCACCAAGTTACAGAAGAGCTGATCCTGACAGCCAGCACTCACCCTGCTCAAGTCAGCATGGCAAGGAGGGGGCCAGCAGATCCACCAGGAAACACAAGCTGTTCTTTCAGTTCTTAAAAGACACTGTAACGCAACAAGCAATGTTGCTGTTCATACTCAGATTTACTCAGTCTTAAAGGAAAGGTCCAATTAAAGATTTACCAAGCATTGGAGCATCAGGCATGGTGGCGCATGCCTTTAATCCCAGAAGTTCTCTGAGTTTGAGGCCAGCCTGGTCTACAGAGCAAGTTCCAGGA